CACTCACAACATACGAACAGTAATCCTGGTATTGCACTTAAGAAGCAAGGAATGAGATGAAGTAAGAAATTTGCCTACTAACCTTTGCAAAAACAAGACATGGGTTCTCAGTGGGCTTGACCTGCAATGAACACAAAAGATAAGCAAAGTAAACAGATAAGGAACAATCCAACTGCAGCAAAATTTGCACTCACCATGAAAGCATCAAAGCAAAAAAATGCAAAAGCATTCTTCTGATTCAATAACTTCCAGCAAAACCTTAATCAACCAAATGTGCAAAAAGTATCGTTTAATAACCATAAAGTACTAACAACTAGTAGCAGGAGCCATTCATAGATTCCAAAGGAGTCACTAGTCAATCAAACACAGAACAAATTTTCTTCAAATGGGCATGGAAATTAGCCATATAAAAAAAATCAAACAAAGGAACCTAATCCGCACAACTAGAGATTCAATTTTAAAAGTTGAAATGTTCAAAAGAAAACAATGGATGTACAATTCCAGTAGCCGTTAGACGATAAACAGATACAACGCACCCAAGTAAAGTACATAATCTCAAATTATAGAACCAGAATTGGAAAACTGGAGTTACCGGAGAAGTGACGGAGAGGGAAATCGGGGAAAGGAGACGCTGGCCGAGGAAGGAAGAGTCAGATGAAATAGAAAGAGAAGTAAAGGAGCTCTGAAGAGCAGACATGGTCGCCATTGTTGATTGTTCTCGCTCTGCCAACAATTCTTTCTTCTTCCTATCCGTTCCCACTGTGACGACGATAACAATTATCGATAGACCACGAAACGACACCGTTTCATAACCGTACTTAATTTAACCAATGGGCTTAATCTGGGCCTGGCCTGATAATGGTTTAATACCACCAAACAGTATTTAAGTTTTTGGTTCATTTATTTTTTTAACTCATTTGATCAGACAACAACAAACAAAAAATCATCCATTCTACATTTTTTCCAATCAATTTTTTTTTGTTTCTTTCTAAAAAGTAAAAACACACCAAAGTAAAAAAATTGTATACATTTCAAATTGTTGTGTTCCTTAACGTGGTTCTTCATTTTTTAAACGATGAACTCGTTTTACAACAAACAAAAACAAGGATTAAAAAAATAAAAATTCATTCACAAGAAAGCTATAGACAACCTCCTATAAACCAAAAATCTACAAATCACTCTAAACCCCCAAAAAGAAATGAAATCCAATTAAAATAATATATGTTATATAATTATAAACTTAACACTTTTTGTTTAAACACATCACTAGTCTTCAAGTGTACTGTCAATAGAATTATCCCTCCGATGATTTTCCGACCGAATTGATCTGTTTCTGGTTAGCTCACCACCGGCCTCCACTGTAGGAGGTGGCGGAGAAGGAGACGGAGAATTCCTCTGACGTTTTCTGTTATGTCTAACCTTAACGACACGCGTCAAAACCTGCACAATATCCCTCATGTTGGGACGTTTTCTTGGTGCACGAGAGATACATTTATATGCAAAAGCCGCAACTTCATTCACTTCTTGTATATCAAATCTCCCGTCTAATCTCGAATCCACAATCTCTTCCCATCCAACTTTTTCCTCTGCATTCATCGCCGCCTATTTCATCCAAGAAAAGTTGTCTTTAATGTTAAGTAATTCTTCAAAAATAAAGAGGTAGGAATCGAGGATCATGTTGGTTTTGTTAGTTTTTTTTTACCAGCTCAACATATTCCATTAGACCTTGTTGAGGATTTCTTCCAGCTATAAGTTCAAAAAGCAGAACACCGAAGCCATAAACATCGCTTTTCTTGGTGAATGTTCTTGTCGAAATATACTCTGGATCGAGATAACCAAACGTTCCTCTGATGTTAGCAGCATGTTTGTCTACCATTTCTTCTCTAGACAGGCCAAAGTCAGCAACCTGTAAGTTAAAAAGAAAATAGCAATGAGAATCTTGACGTTAATGAGATCTCAAGTGGACAGAGGAGATATTTACCCGAGCTTTCATGGATTGATCCAACAAAATGTTGGAAGATTTGATATCTCTGTGGATTACTGGAGGAACAGCCTGGAAAAAATTGAATAGAACATGGCTTTTGATGTTGTGTTTCTTAAGAGATGCATTCAGATGGTGTATGGTTTCAGCAATTAGCTTACCCCATCATGAAGATACTCTAATCCGCGTGCAACGTCTAAAGCAATATACACTCTCAAATCCCAGCTCAGCGGTTCATGCTTTTCGCCTGTATTCAAGAAAGCATTTTAGTGTGTTTCAAATTTCTATTAGAGGTGAGTGACTATGCTTAAAGGATTCAGTAAAGATCCTATAGCAAATACTTCTACATTCAATTACTGACAAGCAGATTAACATATTATGTAGAATAAAGTAGTGACTTACTGTACAAATGAGAAGCTAAGCTTCCTTTACTCATGTAAACATATATAAGCATGTGTTGGCCTTTCTCTGCACAATAGCCGATCAAGTTCACTAAATTACGGTGATGCAGCCTCCCCAATAACATAACCTGAAAGAAAAAAGGACAGTAAGATTTATAGCCTGTCTTATAGTTTTCCAAACTTATTTATTCCCTGGATGTCAACTTCATACAAAATCATCAGGCACAGTTGACAGATATATCTATCTACCTCTGTCTGAAACTCTTTTTCGCCTTGTTTGGAATCAGTGGCAAGGGCTTTCACAGCAACAATCTCACCGGTGGACATTTGAGCTTTGTAGACAGGTCCAAATGCTCCTTGGCCTATCAAAGTCGTGAAATTACATGTTGCTTTCTGCAAATCCCTGAATCAACGACCACATAACATATATAAGAAACAGTATACAAGACCAAGAATGCAAGATATTATCATATCCGCCAAGATTCAGATCCAACTATATACTCTATAACATGATATATGAACTTTAAGACTTGGCAATAATGACCATAACAAGAGAAGTCTAGTCCTCCTTAGTTTAAGAGATAGTAAACAAAAAACCATATCAGGAAACTCTGATCCATAATCTAATATTGCATTTTAAAGAGACAAACCTGTAAGAATATTCCAAAATGCCAGAAGCAGAGATCACATTACTCCTCTTACTAAAACCTTCAAGCCAAACAGACCTCCCATTCCTTGAAGATTTCACAGGCGAATCCGGACCAACCGTAGAATCCGACATAATGTTGCAAGAATCAGCTCCATTCTCTCTAATGGGAAGCGTTGCACTCCTACTTGATCCTCCACTGTTCACAATCTGAGATCTCTTTCCATGGTACTTAAAGCAGAACAAAGCTGAAACAGCTAACAAGACACCAATCACCACACCAAGTGAGATCCCAACGATCAAACCAAATGACTCTCCTTCCATTTTCTCAATTATGTCTCAAAACCTTCCCTCAAGCCTCCTCAAGCTCTGC